GCAGAGGTATCCCCTAGAGTTCCTTGTAGTCACTAAGAGGCATCCTTGACAATAACTGTCCCAAGAAAAGCAGCAGAGTAGGGATCAAGGGGGCCCACCTGTAGCTCTTTCTCTTCCACTCAAGTCTAGGCATAAACAGGAAGGTCATCATCAGTAGGCCTATTTTGGGGTCAGGAAGAGGCTGCTACCCACAAGACTGTCACTACTGGAGGATCACAGCCAGCCATCAGAGGCTTGTGCAAGCTGACAACAGAGGTGGTGGCCACCAGAGCCATGGCAATTGTATTCTCCTTTTTAAAATAATATATTATTTACTATATTATGTGTATGAGTGTTTTGCCTGCATGTATGTAAATGTACCTGTGCTGTGTTGTGCAGTGCCTGTAGAGGCAAAAAAGGGTGTTTGATATCCTGGAACTGGAGTTACAGATGGTTTTTAGCTGCCATGTGGGTGTTGGAAACTCAGGTCTTCTGCAAGAGCAGCCAGTGTTCTTAACTGCTGAGCCATCCCTCCAGCCCTGTTTCATTAATTTTTTTTCCTATTTAGTTTTTATTCATAATCAAACTTAACTCTGCAATCCATCTAGACTGGGAGGGGAATAAGGAGAATATGGAACCCAAAGAACTTCAGCAAGAGCACAAAGATTATGGGATACTGTGAGCAGATGGGGCAGAGGGTGCACTCCTGCACTACAGAAGGAATGGTCTTGTGGTTAAGATGCACATAGGTCAAAAGTACTAGAGCTGTCCACAGTCAGAAATGGTGATCTTGCTGGTCTTGCCACTCCTGGACCCAAAACGCTTCCACAATGCCCATACCTTCTTTCACCTTCCCAAAGACCATATGTTTGCCATCTAACCACTCAGTCTTGGCAATACAGATGAAAAACTGGGAACTGTTTGTGTTTGGTCCAGCATTTGCCATGGACAAGATACCAGCGTCTGTATGCTTCAGGATGCAGCTCTCCGAATTTCTCCCCATAGATCAACTTGCTGCCAGTGCCATTGTGGTGTGTGAAGTCACTACCTGGGCACATGAATCCTGGAATAATTCTGTGAAAGGAGGAACCCCTGTAACCAAATTCTTTCTCTCCAGTGCTCAGAGCACAAAAGCTTTCTGCTGTCTTTGGAACTTTGTCTACAAACAGCTTGACAAAGGTGCAACCCAAAAGCTTGTGATCAACCACGATGTTGAACACAGTGGGATTGACCATGGCTGACAGCAAGCAGCTACCAGGGACAGCAGTGCCTGCAAAGCCTCTTTTATTAATTTTTAACAATTAGCACACAAAGTAATGGGTTTCATGATGGCATTTTCACACATACTTTGTGCTTGTTGATCTGTCCCCATGTCTCCCTGACCCCTGCCCGCTGGTCCAACTGTAGGGGACACATGTAAGTAGTATGGAAGTCACCCTACTCCTTTCTGAACTGCAAAGTTTCTGTTGAAAAACTTATTTAGCTGAGCATGGTGTTGCAGACCTTTAATCCCAGCACTCAAGAGGCAGAAGTTGGTGAATCTCTGTGAGTTCAAGGCCAGCATGGACTACATAGCAAGTTCCAGGCCAACTAGAGCTATAGGGAGACCCTGTTTCAAAAAGACCAAAACAAAACAAAACAAAAACACTTACATTTTATGAACTACTCTCCTATGGAGCAAATCATTTTGGTCTTGGTACTTTAGAACACTCTGCCAAGATAAGACTGACTTTAAAATTTTTTCTTTTTATGTGGACTTTTAGATAGTTCCTCAGTATGGTTCTCTTTAGATTTATCCTATAGTTCATGTAGATTCTTTTTTTTTTAATCTTTTTGAGACAGGGTCTCCCTGTAGCCCCAGCTGGCCTGGAACTCACTCTGTAGACCAGGCTGGCCTTGACCTCACAGAGAGCCACCTGCTTCTGCCTCCCAGTGCTGAGATTAAAGGCATATGCCACCATGCCCAGCTTCGTGTAGATTCTTAAAAATCTGTATGTCTGCTACTTTCTCAGATTTAGGGCATCTGGCTTCTCTCTCTCTCTCTCTCTCTCTCTCTCTCTCTCTCTCTCTCTCCTCTGATTCTCAAAATATCTGATCTGCTTGATCATCTTTTTTTTCCCCATTTTTTTCTCCTGTGACACGATTCTCAAAAGTCCTATCTTTCAGTTCACAATTCTTCTGTTTGATCATGCCTACCATTGAACCCTCCTCCCAATGAACTTTTCAGTTCAGTTATTGTATTTTTCATTCTAGAATTTCTGCTTGGTTCTATTTATGGTTTCGTTGTTAAATGCGTTTGTCCATGCATAATTTTCTTGGTATGCTAGTCCTTTTTCTCTAGTGTCTATTAGTTAATTGAGCTTCTTTAGGACAACTTTTTTTTTGTCTTTTTTTTTTTTTTTGATACAAGGTCTCCCTGTAGCCCCAGCTGTCCTAGGACTCGCTATGTAGACCAGGCTGGCCTTGAACTCATAGAGATCAGCCTGCCTTTGCCTCCCAAGTGCTGGGACAACTTTTAAAAACTCTTTGTGAATCAGCCCACACATCTGTGATGTGTAGTTTAAGTATTTTTTCTTCCTTTGATTGGTCCATAGTTCTCTATTTCTCTGTGCATGCTCTTCAGCCAAAGAAGTGAGGAGGAGCATGCACCCCCCCACATACATAAACATATGCTCACACACCACACACACATCATATTAAACACATACATGCAAAAATAAATTAAAACCTAGTATTACTTATAATCATTACCATTTGAATTATTTAGGTTTAATATCACCTTGTGTGCACTTAATTTTTTATTGCAATCTCTGTCTCACACACACAAACACATATTCTCTCTCTTTCTCTCTCTCTCTTTGTATTTTATAGTGCCAAGATCAAGATAATCTTGAATTGTGATACATTTTACATTCAAAGTATGATTTAGGTAATTAGGTAACCACATGACTTTATTAGCGTATTAGAATTCAGATGTGAATTTTCAGGTTTTATTTTTATCTGTATACTAATGATTACATAAGAAAGATATTTTGTTATAGAAAATAGTTGTCCGGGTTTTCAGTGTTCTTCATGGTCTATAACAGCTAAGTGGTCTACCAGTTGCGTCAGTAGAAACAAATGAAGACGTTTAGTTATTATTTTTAGTCATTTTATACTCTGTGGCTTAGACACTTTTGTAAGCATCTGTTGATGGAAGCACCTCACCTCAAATCTCTTGTCTTTAACGTGGCACTGTGGTTCTATAATCATCCTAGTCAGGCATCAGAACTTGAAGTTAAACTTCAGTGTCCTCAAAACATTATTTAGAGTGCCAGACTTCTCTTCACTCTACTGATCTTTCTAAAACATTCCCATTTTTTTCCACCAGTTACAGGGTTGCTTCTTTAAGCATGGTTCATGACCACCTTAAATACTTAGGATGTTTATTCACACATTTTATTTTGTATTATTATTATTATTATTATTGAGACAGGGTCTCTCTGTAGCTCCAGCTGCCCTGGAACTTGCTATGTAGACCAGACTAGCCTTGAACTCACAGAGATCTGCCTGCCCAACTAAAGGTTGGGTCTATTTCTGTAAATATATAAAATGATTCAAGATGGACAACTCTGGAAAATATTCCATAATTGTTAAAAACCTTCAGTTTAGATGAAGCGTGTGCCCAATGTGAGTGAAACGACATCATCATACAGATGGCCAAGGAGATCTTCAATGACTCTCTAAAAGTGTGCTGTGAGATTTTCACAGGCTTCCACTCACTTCCTAAATATCAGTGATCTTGGGAAATGACTGTGTGGCCCATGGCTGACATAAGAGAAAGGTCTACTGTGTGTAGAAACACCTCCTGTCTCTGGAACTCAAAGTCTGACTGGTTCTACTACCAAGTAATTATAAGTACCTGGTACAGTTCTGCTCTGACTACAGAAAATCACTTCAAGGAAATTCTTGCTTTTCTCTTTCTCACTTGTAATATGAGAATGTTTGACTTGGTGGCCTCTTCTGTCTTTGCCTTAAGTCTCCAGGCCTTCAAGGATTTTAGAAAATCCCATAGACCTAAGTCCTCCACTTTTTTTTCTGTCATGCAGTACCTGTGGAGGTCAGAAGAGGGCATAAGATCCCTTAGAACTGGAGTTATGGAGGGTTTGTTAGCTGCCATGTGAGTACTGGGAATTGAACTGAGGTCCTCCACAAAAGCAGTCAGTGCTCTTAACCACTGAGCCATCCCTCCAGCCGCCTTTATTTTTTTTATGTATTCTTTGTTTTATGTGTATGAGTGTTTTGCCTGTTTGTATGTAAGTGCACCATGTGCATGCAATGCCTACAGAGACCAGAAGAGGGCTTCAGAACACCTGGAACTGGAGTTACAGATAGTTGTTAGCCACCATGTGGGTGCTGGGAACCAAACCCAGATTCTCTGAAAGAGTAGCCAGTGCTCTTAATTGCTGAGCTATCACTCCAGTCCCCATCATGGGCTTTTTAAAAAAATCACATTTATGCCCTCATTTTCCATATTTCACAGCTTTCTTTGCAGCATGGCCATTTCAGGGAGTTTTGGAACTCATTTAAAAAATAACATCACAGACTTTTGTGTATTTATTTTTATTTTCACAACATAGCATAAAATATATATCTTAATTCCCAGGGACTTTGAGAGGAGCATCACTTAAATTTGAATTCATGAGGAGTATTTCATTTGAATCACTCTGGCTCTCATAGAGTAACTCATAGCAGATCCTTAGAGTAATAAGAACAAAAAAGTCCTTTCCAAAATTTTGTCCAAAAACCAAATCCTATGATCTCTCTGTTGCATGTTCTTTTATTAAGAAAAGAACACATAGCCCGTGTGAGTATAAAAGACAGTAAGTTCAATAGTTACGGAGAACCCTCAGCTACAAGTGTGGGCGGGGTGGACACAGATAGCAGAGCGTTCACAGGGACTTCCTTTTGTTCATCTCACCTTCACAGAACTTGGAGTTTGTCCCTGTTCACAGGTTCAGTGCCACAACTCCCCATCTGCAATGGCTACACCAGTGGTCTATGCAGATTTAAACTTAGCCCGTACCCAAGGGCCTAAACATGCCTCACCTCTGCCTCGTCCCCCAGGTAAGTGGCTTTACTTCTCCTTTTGGTGTCTGAATATCTTCTAGAGTTAAGATTTTCCTCTTAAAGGTATAGTTTTAAGTTACTGCTTTGAAGATGAACAGCTGTCAGTTCTATGTTAGTGTTGAATAGTGTAAGCATCTTGCTTGCAGACAATCACAACTTTGGACAGAAAAAAGCTCATAGATTCCATTTTTATTCAAGTAGTCAGCAGGAAACTTGAACATCACTTCTGTTCAACCCTAGTTAAAAGATCCTAAAGAAAGAACATTTTACTTATATGAGCAAAAGATGTTTGAAGACACACTGCAGACTTTCTGTAATCACAGCTTGCCGTTTCCAAATCCTTCTGCAGAAGGCCAGCACCATGACCTAGATCTACTACCCTGTCTTTCAGACTAAGTAGACTTAGTGATTAACAGCTTCTGCTCTCTAAAAGGAGAGGAGCAAGGTACGGGGGAAAATCATAGAGAAAATCATATTTGAGTTCCAGTCTTGTTCTTTCTATCTTGAAAATATAACAACTTTAAATGGATAAGCCACAAGATACTGGAGTCCATCAATAATTAATTAATTAACATTGACTGAAATAAGTGCTCGTTTACCAGAGGATTTAGTAATCTGAGTGTAAGAAATGAAGGCTGACATGAGGTAATAGATGAAAGTCAACATGGCCTGGGGATAGACAAAAAGAGACCAGAAGCTGAGGGAAAAAATCTATATAAAATGGTCATGATGGTGCTGGAGAGATGGCTCAGCGGTTAAGAACACTGACCGCTCTTGCAGAGGACCTGGGGTTCAATTCCCAGCACCCACATGGCAGCTACAAACCGTCCTTAACTCCAGCCCTCTTCTGACCTCCGCCTTCCACGATATGGGTGCACTTACATACATTCATACACACACACACACACACACACACAAAAAATAAATAAATAAATAAATAAAATATTTTTTAAAATTAAAAACATTGGTCATGATATTCTGCAATCTAACTAAATTTAGTGACATCAATATTATTGCAATTAGCCAAGTGTGGTGGCAAACACCTTTGATTCCAGCACTCAGGAAGCACAGGCAGGTGACCAACCTAGTCTGCATAGGGAGTTCCAGGCCAGCTGGGGCTACAGAGAGACCCTGTCTCAAAATAAATAATAAGTAAATAAATAAAATAATACAACTAAAGAATAAAATTAAATAAAATAATAATATTGCAATTGTTTTCCAATTTGATATTCTTTTTGATATTCATGTGGCAAACACATGAATTGTGAACGTTGAGACTGCTTGTTAGAACTACTAAATTGTCAAAAGTTTAAGTGAAGAAGACCTTAGCATCACCAAATAAGCTTCATTGTAATCTTTGTATGGGGTTAGGTAAAGTAGAGAATTTTGAAAACTGCAGAAAATATTGATTGAGGCAGTTATTTTTTGTTGGGTAAAAGCAAATCTGTTTTCCCTATTCATGCCTAATAAAGGTGGAAAAGGGCCTTTTGAAATAAATAAGAAAATGAATGTAAGGAAAGATAACAGTGCTTTTCCAAACTCTACTGTCTATGATTTAGTCTAGAAGACTAGAAAATTTGTCTATTTAATCATAGTCATTATCTTACATACTTTCAACCTGGAAGAAAACCTGAAAGAAAAACAAATAATAGTAGACTAAAGCCAGAACAAAGCTCACAAAGAGAAGAATGACCCAGTAGTGCAGTAACTGTAAAACCACTGATGACTGTTTAGCTAAACAGCTCAAACTGTGGTAAATTCGAAACACAGTGATTAGATCTTCCAGGAAAGAAACCCAAAAAGAAGGACATGCGTAGTGACCTGCTTTGTTTGTGGTCAAATGACCAAAGGTTTGCTTTGATCGTGGGGTGGATAAAATGTATACAAAATGCCTCCATGCCTTATGCAATCATTCAGAAATAACTATATGCCAAGCATTGCTCTAAATGTTTGGGACATAGAAGTAAACAAATGGGAAAGGATCTTTTTTCCTTGTAGAGTTTAATTTACTGTGAAAATATGAAATTAGTGAAATAAACACCTGGGTCAAAGACCTATCATGGGAAATGCAAGAAAAAAATTTAAATGAAAATTGGGGTTTTGTTTTAGGAGATGGCATCATGTCAAGCAGAGTAATCATGACAGAACTTTCTGAGATACAATGGGGAAATCAAGTAGAAATGACATATAGGGCGACTCTGGAACACACGAAGAGAATAAAAGACAATATTGTAGTATATCTGATTTAGAATTGCTAACATGTAACCCAAAGTGTGTCATTATTTACACTAAGAAATTTTACACTAAGAAAAATATATAAATCAGAAGCTACAGAAATAAGATAAAATGCACTTAGCCAAGTGTAGTGGTGCATATCTATAATCCCAGCACTTGGGAGGTGGAGGCTGGACAATCAGGAGTTCAAGGTCATCCTCAGCTACACAGAGAGTTTGAGGCTGGCCTGGACTCCAGGAAACCCTACCTCAAAAACAGAACAAAGCAAAATGAAATGCAATTAGGAAATCTTTACTTAATACAATTTAGAAAACCATTTCTATATGTAAATGACATTAAATGAGGTCAAACAGAGTATTATAATTAAATTAGAGGTGTAGAAGCTAGCTAATATTTCTCCATATTAATTTTGGTTTTTACTTTTATTTATTTACTTTCTATGAGTTTAAATCCATGAGGAGTACAGTATCAGAAGGACCTTTGTAAGAAGTTTGCTTCAGAATTTACCTTACTCTGGTTTTGTTCAGTTTGCCACCAGGAGTCACTGTGTTGTTTTTTGCCTAAGTAGAATTAGGTTTCATCTTGGGCATTAACATCTTCAATAAACATCTCCAATTTAGTCAAAATACTTTTATTTATTTACACTTTATGTGTATGAGGCCCCTGTGTCATGCAATGACAGAGGAAGCCAGAAGAGGGTGTTGGATCCCTGGGAAATGGAGTATTATAGAGAGTTGTTAGCCACTATACCAAAGAGAAGCTGTGTTGTGCTTCCTTTTTTTGAAAAAGTGAAACACTGAGGAGAGAAAAAAATAGCTTTTGCTGTCACACATCAAATTGTGAAAGTTATAGCCACAGTGTGTGATATGTATTTAGTTAAGTTCAAAAACTGTGTGCATGTGTAAGAGTGTATGAGCGTGTATGTGTGTGTATGTGTGTGTGTACGTGTGTTTGTAAAATAATGTATATAGTGATTGATGCTATCCACAGTTTCAGCTCTCCATTAGTTTTAGACCTCAGTCCCTGAGGATAAGAGGAGAAAGAGGAGAGACTAATGTAGCTAAAATATTGAAAATAACTTGCTGGCTCACAAAGTGCTCTTTCTTTTTTCTTTTCTTTTCTTTTCTTTTTTCTTTTTTTTTTTTTTTTTTTTTTTTTTTTTAAAAAAAAAAAAAAAAAAAAAAAAAAAAAGAGGACGATAAATCTTTCACTGTGATATATCAAAATAA